TTACCAGTTTCAACAATATTGATATAAAATCTATTATGACATATGTGAATATTGGCAGTCATATTCTGAATAAGCAAAAATGGAATCTCACCGGTGGATAGAAAAATAAAAAGCAGTATCTTCCTTGTAATTAATGCCTCTCCATAAATAACTTCATCAAGGCACTCAGATATTCATAACTCTTCTCCAAAATGTATACATAGCTTTGTCATACATATTTCCTGTAAGACCCCTTGCCTCATAGACAAATCAGACAGAAGAATTATTTAACCGTAAAAATATGTGTGATTTGAAGAGTTGTTTATTGACATTTGTTATTATGTTTCTGCGATGCTTATGTATTCCAGTAATGAGAATACAGTATGTGAGGTGTCTAAAATCATAAATAAGAGGTCTTCACCAGACCATAAGGATCCTTAATTTTGTCCCACTAATGATGTACTTAAACGAAACAGTCCACAGAATAGCACAATGTTATTGATCCTTGATATTTAAAGCACTGATGTGACAGGCAGCTGTACAACAGCACTGATGTAGGTGGATGACATTGACTGAGTTGCTAAAATCTGGGTGGAATTTAGTAATTCTTTTTTCAAAGGAAGTTTTCCAATAACCACTGAAAAAAGAAGTGTATAACTTCAAAAGGGAAAATAACTGTTTACTGCATTTTTACTCTTTTCTGACCAGAATTAATGTACATAATTAATTTCTTAAACATTAATTTGTTTGAAGTTACAGAAAAATAACACTAATGACAAGACCAATAACCTTTTGAGGAATTATTAAAAATGTATAGTTCAATCATGTAAATATTATTCTGTATAATAACATTGACATGACATTTAGCAAGTTTTGGTTACAGTTTAAAATGCTGAACATGACTCCCTGGTCTTATGTCCACTTCCAAATATATTTACATTCTTTACTTTCATTTTAAACTATATTACTGTCTCAGTTTTTCTACCTCCCTCCCAGTTTGTTATTGTGTATGTAAAAAGATTAACAGAACAATGCAATATTGTCATTTTGTCTCACTTTGTTAGATTAGGTCCATATTTAATTTTTAGACGTAGTGGTGGATTTGGTGGTGATGTAATTCTGTCTTCCTGTTCAATTCAAGCATAATAGATTTCTTTTAAAATACAATGAAATGAACAAATCCATATCTGTACATGACTAAAAACAAATTTAAGCCAATAAATGTCTTGATATTTCTAATTGAAGTGATTAGATGTGCATCTTAAAGAATTAAGTCTTGGCATGTATGTGTACTTACAAAGAAAGAATGGTATAATGTCTATTGCGATGTAGAAATTAATACATAGAGATAATTAGTAACTACTGAAGTCACTATTTCAGCAGCATTCTGGGTACTCTGCCCTTCAATCTGACCTGCAGTTGCCCAGTCCTACAACTGTAAAGGTTTCAAATACCTCTTTTAATAAATTCAATTTCCCTCATTACCTGCAATTGTACAGCTTGTAGGAACCCAGGCAGCAGTACTAATTTTTCTGTTGCACCTTTCTGTAGTATGTATTATTCTGTACAATTACATTCATCCAGTTTCCTGTGCAAAGTAGATGTTGCAATTATGCAGTAGATCTTCACATGTTTGAACTTTCATAATTAATTTATCTGCTCTTTCATGGAATTAAAATTTATTATCAAAATGAAATAGAATGATAGTAACTTCCTGTTGTAGTAACTACATTTATTGTAATAGTGTAATTTGATATGTAAACAATGGAACAAAAACTTGGATACCAATACAATTCTTTCTTACCATTTGCTGTGAGTAATACAATGGAAAGGAGCAGTTGTATCCTATATGATGGCAGCTTTCGGGCATAAGCCACACAAATGTTGAAGGTTTTCCATTTTGACAGACACTGCAGTTGCTGTCTTCGGACTGAATATCTGTGGGGGAGAGGGAGTTTGGAAGCAGTTACATAGACCTGGAAGTGGGAGATGATGGTCACTTCTTTTCATAACCACATGGTTGCTAAAACACTTTTCATCTCCCTACCATTTCATAGGACCCTGCTCCACTGCTCGGTCATGTCAATTTCCTTCCACTTATCTCTCACAGATCTATATAAGGGCTTCCTAACCCCTTATCCCCCCTCCCTCACTCCACAGACAGTTACCTGAAGATCTGAAGATGGCTGCTGTATCAATTGCCAAAATGGAAAATACTCAACGTTTCATGCAGCCTATCCCCAAAAGGCAAAGTTATGCATTGAGCTCCAGTTGTACAAACTTAATGACAAGAATGTTCTCTAAATGGTTTCGGTTCCTTTCTGTATCATAAATTGTGTACATTAAAATCAGACACTGGCTGCCCCATAAAGAGCATTAGAAGGGTTTCAGTGTACTCTGGAATTAGAAATGTGTACCACTGGCACTACACATTTGAAAGGTTATGTAGAAAATAGATTTGTGTGATTTAAACAAGAACATGTGTGATAATAACACAGTTCATGATTGCACTAATTTCATATTCTTGATATCTTAAAGAAACTTCTTAGTTCAAACATTTGAAGTTATGCTGTATTTTCTGTATGATGTGATCACCGCCTTGCAGCTGAAATGTATTACTGTAGTGCTGGTCATTATTTCAGCATGATTTCAGTAATGTGCTGTTACCATTAGAATCACATCCATTCTCATAAAAATTTGCCCTCTTCTGAGAGCACTGACCATAGGAAATACAGTTTACTTACAACTTTTCCTTTATTTCTACTCTGCATTAGTGGTTGGTTTGCAGCAATGTGAACCAGGAATTGTGTTATATTATTACATATTCTGATAAAAGAATTAACATTTCATCAAGTATAATTTCACTGAAAAAAGAAACACTGAAGGATTTTTACCTGATTTAGAGTTCTGGAAAATACTGTGATCTGATTGGTCAATTTGTACTTCAGGACCCACATAAATCAGAGAATTCCAACTGCCAACATAGTACATTGGTTATTTAATAATTGCACATTAACTGTTGATGTTATGTATTTATAATACCACTGATGATGAATCTCAGATGTGACAATGGAACAATGATATTTCCATAAAGAGATATCTGAGAATTCTGACTCAGTGAAGTGGGCAAAAGTTTCATGTAATATGTAAAACAACTGAACTGGAGTTAAACAGCTGAGAAGCTTGTGTTGTACACAAATTAGTGTGTGGAATGAGTTTATCAGTAGTCATAAAATTTAAACAAATTGTGAATGGTGAGTAAACTGCTGTGAAGGCTAGTAAGATATACTGTTCTGTATTATGGCAGGAATTTCTTGTACAAGATATAGAACTGTATTTAGTTTTATGTATAAAAGCGTATGCAAGAATAGAAAAATATCTGAAAATTGCTGTCTTCTGGGTTGTTGCGCCATGTAGTCTGGTAGATGTCCACCAACGTTTTCAGAGGTCATGCTGCCTCTGTCATTAGGGCAGCATGACCTCTGAAACGTTGGTGGACATCTACCAGACTACATGACGCAACAACCCAGAAGACAGCAATCTTCAGACTCACCGCTGTGAAAACCTCAAATCTTACAGAAAAATATCTGTTCTCTGTAATCTAGGAAATCTCGGGAAAGCATTTAGATAAGAAAAGGTTATTCCTGTTTCACCATTCAATTTTAGAAAGTCTGTTTAAAAAAACTTGGGACTCAGTTCATTTATACAAAATTAAATATTATAACAAATAATATTATTTAAAACCTTTAGTTTACTTTGTAAATAAATACAGGTGTGCTACTTGAAGTATCTCTGGAGATTTCTGTAACATCTATAAGTTTGTAGGTCACATTTTGGAATTATGGTCAGTAAATATTGAAACTTCTTGTCTTTCATGATATTAAAGTCTGATGAACAGAGAAGTTTCACTTAACAAGTCTTCTCAGTATGTTGCATGGATAACCAGATTAATTTGTGCTTGACCTAAATTTATTGTACAGTAACAATGCATGTATCAGTATATGTTGACTCCAATTTTTAGTCTGCTTCTCCCAAACCATGTCTTAGGTATTTTACAGTAGCCAAATAATTTTAATTTTGTCTCCTAGATGAATAAACTTTGGTGCATATCACTTTTGTTGCAAAAAGAAACAGGCTTTATTTATTATCACTAGAATACAAGATAAAATCATAACATGAAGATAGATAATGAATCTTTTAAAAATATGGTAACATCAGTAACAAATTAAAATTACATTCACAAGAAGGTTTAAATTGAGGAGTGCTTGTTACAAAAGGGGTCAGAGTATTTTATCCTACTATTACCAGAATCATATCAATTATGCAAATATACAAATTACAAACTGAAAAAAATAAAGGACAAATATAATGCTAATTTATACAAACAATACTGTGTAAAAATTAATGGGTGTTAATTTAACATTCATGCAGGACCAAAAATGTCAATAACCTCAAAGAAATTAAGATATTAATTAGACAAAAATGGCTTAGTATTCAGTATTTCACTTTAGCCTGGACAATTCATCAACTTCTCACTCCTTAAACCAGGCTTTGGTTCCCAGTTAGTACATACTACATTTTTGGTGAAGAAAGCTGACCTTAAGTATATCTTCTGGGGTTTTCTCATTTCCATTGTCTTTAATTTCACATTTTGGTCTGATTTAATATCATCAGAATATAACAACTGATGCAGTGTTAGTCAGTTAAATAAATTTTATTAAAAATAATATAAACAGCATAACATCCTAGTATATTTGCTTGCTCTTTTACATAACATGACAACTATAAAGAAAACTAAAGCATTGAACCTTATGAGTGTAATAGGCCATTAACACCAATGCACCAATATCTTGTTGCACGTACTACATACAGCCCTAACCTGGTACAGCTTTCAGATGTTTGGCAAGGTATGATTTTCTGCTATCCCCTGCATCACACTAACCAGTAAGTACATAGCTTGATCCATGCCCTTTCTAACTTGCACATTGTTGTCTCTCTCTCTGTCTCTTGTGTGTGCACAGTTTCCCAGGCTTCTGCCGCCTCCGCATGCACACCAAGGGCGGGTCCCCGGTCGCCTTCATCGAGTACCAAGATGTACGTTTTGCTGCGCAGGCCATGACCACCCTTCAGGGCTCCTTCCTGCTCTCCTCCGACCGTGGCGCCATTCGTATCGAGTACGCCAAAAGCAAAATGGCCGAGGTTGGTTGTTTCCTAATCTCACAACCAGTGTTCTTTGAAATATCTAGATAGTGAAGTACATTTGGCTTCCATTCTGAAAGAACATCTCAAAATACTTTAACATTATTACTATACAATTCTAAACATTTATTTTGTTTCTCAAATTTTGTAATTACACAATGAAAGGCCATTTAAAGATGACACACACACTTCTATCAGAAAAAGTTAATTACCTCTGCATTAAACAGTACCTTTGGTTGGTGAGGAAAAAAGATATGCAATTACAGAAGGTGTTTTCTTGGAAAAGGAAGAAGGAAGTTGGTTGTCAGTCTAAATTATAAAAAACATTTTGCCACCCAATGGAGAACTTACAATGAACAAATGATTTATATGGTATTTAACATTAGGAAATTAATTACATACTAATACTAATCTATGACCTGACTTGTCTCTTCAGAGTTTGTATGTTGAATTGGTTTCAAGGAATTTGTACTGAAATTAGTACTTATATACTTAAAATGTTTCTATTTGTGAGAATATGCATTACTGATATATCTTCAAGTGAATGGCATTTCTCACTCAAGTTGCAGAGCTTCATTTTATATTTCATACCTTTACATATTCAGAAAATCTCTCATATAATGGTCACTTCACAGTGAACATATTTTATTCACTGATTGTATGAAATGTCTCGCACTAGAAAAGAGACCTGAATTTAAAATGACTGTAGGTTCAGAGAATTCTCTTGTTCATTTCTGCAGAGTAGAAGTAAGTTGGAATGTGATGAAGGTGGGTTACATAGGACTGGACTCGAAAGAATGTTACAACCTCTGGCCTCTTTCGAACATTTTTACTTTGTCACTGAATTCAGGGCATTTGTAAATTTAATATCACCCAACATTTTTTCAACTCATTGTAATGGTCAAGATATGTTGCCTAATCCTTCAATGAGGTCATGTACCCACAATTCCCTATGTGACGTGTAGAATCTTGTAGCTTTCATGGTTTATTTATGATATATTGCCCTTCCCTATATATGTAAAATACAAATAATATAGTCTCCATATTATCAACTCCAGGATCTTAACTAGTCATCATCATCAAGTTTCTAGAAACATGCACAAAGACAATTGGTTGCCAGATTAACTTAATATAATGGTTTGTTTAATCAAAAGAGCTGTTTATCTGCCACATATTACTTAGGTGATATTTCTGCAGGATCGGTTCTGCAGAAGAGGTACTGTCAACTACATATTTTCATTATATATTGAATGTAACAGGAAGCAGTGAAAAGATTGAGAAGATGAAATACTTCTTCATTCTTTATTAATATCTTCTTGTGTACATTTCTGGAGACAGAGGAAAAGAACTGAAGACAATTGTTAATCTTTCCAGATATTAAGGTTCCAGTTATAAAACCTGAAGGGAAGGCCCAGGTTTATATCTCCTCCTCCTCATCCTTCTTCTTCCTCTATGGCGCAACAGCCCGAAGTTGAGTCTTGGCCTCCTCCCATGTGGGAGGTTTCTTTGTCTTTGAAGTGTGCATGTATGAGTAGTGAGTGACAAGCCCACTGCCTCTGACTAGGTTTATATGGGAGAATAATATTAAAATTAACTTTAAGGAATTAGATGTGAGATTGTGGAATAAATTCAACTGGCTGAGTACATTCACCTTGAAGATGGCAACTGTAATGTTTGCTGAAACGTTGGATAACTTTCAACATTTGAAGTGGCTTATCCTCAAAAACTGAAGTTGAATGTCATTATTAAGCAGGCTACAGAATTAATATACAGCTAGCTAACTAATAATGTGCAGCAGTCCTTTTTGGGAAGCTAATATTGTGCTCAGCTAATAGTTGTACAAATCAAGAAGGTACATGTAGATTTTATATATTATTTAATTTTTTTTCACCCACACCTTCTTTCCCTGCTGATCAAAGATGTATTTCTAGAGTTAATTCAAAGCACTGTGTCTGAGTATACTGTGTAATCTCATCAAGCAGCAGACTGGGGTGCCAGAAAAATTTGAGAGCGGCAGACTTGCATGGCTTGCCTGTGACACCCTCCAACAGTGCTTACAGTATTACTGTGTAATAGAAAGGGGTGACAGCTGCTCAAGAATGGTAGAGGATAAAATCAATGCATGGGAATACATATCTTCAAAATAATTACTGTTTTGTGTAAGCAGTTGTAAACATGACTTGTGACGTGATTTTAACCATATGTAGAATGTTTTCATTCACATATTCTGTCTGCATTCTATGATAAATTTCCACTGAGTTGCATTCTTTTAGACTCAATACTATATCACTACACAGTTAACTTGAATTAAAACAAATTTCTGACATCTTACAGACAGCTAGATTGTCAGCACAGCTCTCCAGACAGATTTCTGTTAAATCACACTCATAATTATGAATCTATTTGAACTACTCAGCCCAGGTCCCTCATTGTGTCATGCTGTATGAAGATGGCTGTCTTCTGGGTTGTAGTCTGGTAGACGTTTACGAGGGCATTACATATATTGCAATAAATTTCATAGTACAGAAAAGCATTAAACAACAGAAGAATGAAGTCAGCAATTGTACTGATCAATAAGTTTAATTATAAACATACTAGAACTAACTTTTTACTAGTATCTTATTATGCACCTAGTTTATGTGACTGGTGCTTCAAGACATGCATGTCTGTGTGTATTTATATAGCATCCAGATCCTTTCATCTGCCTCAGTCAAGTATATCACAGAGATAATTCTGACTAAAACATCACATGTAACTGTATTACACACATATACCTCATGTATTTCGAAGTAACTTCTTATTTTATGTATAATACTCAAATATGAAAATATCAACAACTACTGACACACCAAAACACAATCTGGGAATTATGTATTATAACTTTTATATTATTTACAGGTAGCTTTCAAGGATGCAACTTTTATAAAAATCCTGAATCTCAGTTTGTAATATTAAATCAGTACTGGTAATCCCTTCAGCTGTTTCAATAATATAAACACTAGTACTTTGTGTCCTATCCTATTTCTATTCAATTTTCAACATTAAAATTTATCCTTCGAGTACTGAGGTTAAAAATGTGTGAAGCTATACCTCTACTCCCCCACACATCTACATAGTGTGTTGCTTAGTTAAGCTCCAGGGACAACTTTGCCTTTACCTTTATGCTTTACCTCACCTTGAATTGCCCCAGTGTTGCTGCTTATTTCACTTGTCTACCCTAATATTTTGTAACAGCATTAAAAGTGTTACAATTAGTGAACCGTAAATCACCACAAATTATATTTTAGAGTCTGATAAGCATGAAAAATTTTCTAGAACACCGTTTTGAAAACTGTAGAGAATGTTAAATGGGTCAAGTAAGTTACTCAACAGTTAAAGTACTTTACCACCACATCCAGCCTCTTGTCTAACACAGGGCTGAAATATTCATTAAGATTCAGATAGTGACTGTTTAATCTAACACACAAAATGTCAGCTGCACTTGACAGAATAAAACAAGGCTTTTTCATACACTTTGTCAAATTTGATTTTTATCAAGTGTGGAAAATGTACTGGCAAAGTATTATGTTTAAATTTTCATTCAGCCCATACCATAACAAAATTTAAAACAACATTTTGCATAATATTTTACTATATATGATGTCACTTTAAAATAAAGTGCAGCATAGTGTTTTAAGCTCCCAGTTCCAAGGATTGTATTTTTGTCTAAGCTAAATACATACTGTGTACTCAGTATGCATTTCTGACCATAGTTTAGGTAGCTGCTATGCATTCATAGTAAAGACACTGCTTTGTGTTTGGTCCCTACGAATATAGGATTTCTCCTAAAATATTAATGAATTTTTATACTCTGGTCTGCAG